ATAACTGTTTTCACTGTTTTGAGATCAAATAAATGCAGCCTTGGTAAGCATAAGAGACTTTTTTTTGCAATAGGTTGCATGTTTCTTCTGTCCCTGAGTCTTTGCCATGTCGAGAACAGGAGTTCCAGGACATCTACAACTTTGTGGAGAGTAAAGTCATTGATGGCACTGGAGGGTAAGATTCTGTCATTAAGGTTTAACTAACTCATATCTGTAAATAATAAAAAAGGGTAATACAATTCATTTTGCTTTTGCAGGTGTATGTATATCTCAGGTGTTCCTGGTACTGGTAAAACTGCCACAGTACATGAGGTGATCCGGTCCCTTCAGCAGTCCACTGAACAAGACGAGATCCCTCACTTCCGCTTCATTGAAATAAATGGCATGAAAATGACAGACCCGCACCAGGCTTATGTACAAATACTGCAGGTCTGTATGCTGCCTCCCCTTTCTATCATTTTAAAATTCTTTCCTCATTATTGTTATATAGTATTTTCTGTCAATTTGTGCTCTGGTTCTGTTGTAGAAACTGACTGATCAAAAAGCAACGCCTGATCATGCAGCCGCCCTACTGGAGAAACGCTTCAGTGCTCCTGCACCAAAAAAAGAGACAACTGTGCTTCTAGTAGATGAGGTAAGACTTTTGTTCCCGGTGACATTATTAACCACAAACATGCCCTCTGTTTTGCCGATTAGCTGGTCTTACCTGGCCTAGATCAGTGGCTCTCAACCTTTTTGACTCGAAAAGCCCCCTGTTTTCCAGTATTATATTTAAATAATAAATATATTTATTATTATAAAAAATAATAATTGTGTTATCCCCCATATATAGGCTATGATATGATCCCCCATATAGGCTATGATATTTTCAGTATTTCTTCTGTAATTATGACAGCTTCTTGTTTTCAAACTTTTTTCAAACAGATTAAATTGACCACAATTCATTCTGTGATTTCAGAGTTTCAAGTAGTTATTGGGGAGAGGGGCTTTTATGCTTTTTAGAATTTTATTTAGTTTAGAGTTTGACCATTTATTAATTATTATTATTATTTTTTTAATTGTCCTGCAGGGTCCCAAAAACCAGTTTTTCTACCTTAAGCTTGTATGAACCGTTTTTTTCAGAGTAGTGCTGGAAAATCTTGTTGTCAATCAGATCTTTACCATGACATATTTATTTTCTTGGTCTTTATTTCCACTTGTTTCCTGTCAATAATTGGTTAATTTGTACTTTGAGCAATAATAATTTGCCAATCGTCTATCTGAAATAACATCTGTTTTTATCAATATCTTTCTTTTTTCCAGCTTGACCTCTTGTGGACCCGTAAACAGAATGTGATGTATAACTTGTTTGATTGGCCAACAAGACGCAATGCTCGTCTGGTGGTTCTTACCATCGCAAACACTATGGACTTGCCTGAGAGAATCATGATTAACCGGGTTGCCAGTCGACTGGTAAGAAAGACCATTTCACAACATTAAGATGCCATTCAATTATGATTGAAATTATGTTGGCCAATGCAAATAATGGAAATGAAACATGAATGTTGTTTATTCACTTTCAGGGACTGACAAGAATGTCCTTCCAGCCATATACTTTTAAACAGCTACAACAGATCATCACGTCAAGGCTAAACAGAGTAAAGGCTTTTGAAGAAGATGCTCTCCAGCTCGTCTCAAGAAAGGTAGGAGCACTTTCTTGTGAAGCCATGTTATCTTAGGTACAGGTGACTGAGGCATTGTGGGTTACCTTTTAAACACTCTAGTAGTTTCTAGGGGTGGGACAAAAAATATAGATAGGGCAATATATAGTTTCCTTCTCCATGTCATACAAGAATCGAACACATGGCGCCAAATATCGATATTTTAATTAATAAAATAAGATGCTCTAAATAGATTTCCCTGTTCCCAGTGTCGCTACTTCATGGCTCCTCGGTTGCACTTAACACATGAATAAGGGAAACGTGAACATAAGTTAACTAGCCTAAGAAAAATGTTTTTAACGGGATGGCGGACAGCAGTGTGAGTAAATAATAGATGAGAAAATAATAGATGCCCAGCCACGTTTAAGTCCAAAGTCAACCAGCAGCCGTGAATGCAATGTTTAAAGCAAAACTTCCTTTCTCATCCCTGAGAGCTGTCAGTTTTAACCTTCTGGGGTCCTTCGGCCCAAATGGACCCGAAGCATTTAAATATATATATTTTTTAAATCATTGCTTTATCGGAATGGTCCGAAATTTGGTGACTTTGTTGGTACTTGGCATATGAACACCCCAAAAAATTGGGGACAGGATTTGAATAGTCTAAGTGGTTGTAAAAAAAATAGTCACACTCAGGACCTTCGGGTCCAAATGGACCCGCATAGGAAATGAATGGGAAATTGGCAAAAATTTGAAAATACAGAGTTATTTTGTGCGTACAAACTACAAATCAGCCACGATCCAGAAAAAAAGCACACAACAGTGAAGGGGTGAATCTATAAAATATCAAGAGTGCAAAACAGACACATCCACACACACACACACAAACACACTTTTATACACATACACACTAATAAATTCAGATTACATATGGGTTTTGAATTTTTAAAATGCTCAGTTTGTCCACCAGATGGCATCCATCTCATTTCAAAAATTGCTTTCATGAGGCCTAGGCTTGACTCTAAAATGAAATACAGCTTTAAAAAAATATATATATATATATATATATAATTTTTTTTTTAAAATTTCTATTATATTCAATGGGGAAAAAATGGGTCATAATTATTGCATTAATATTAATTATAAATCATTTTTATTTTTGAAATTATCTCAAAACACCAAAAAAGAAAAGAAAAAATATTATGAAAAACAAGTAAAAAAAAAGAAGATTTTTTTTAAATAAATATTAATCCCACCCTTCCGGCCCATTTGGACCTGAAGGTCCTGAGTGTGACTCTGAAATGAAGGACCCCAGAGGGTTAAGAAGGCAGTTGCTGTATTTATTTGCAAGGACCGGTATCGTGAGCCATGTATCGTATCTTGAGGTACCCTGTGATTCCCACCCCTAGTAGTTTCTGTGCTGTTCTTTGGCTACCAGGTTGGGGTAATCACATATCATTATGAATCAACGAGAGATTATTTGTGTTCTTCTAGGTGGCAGCGCTTTCAGGTGATGCGCGCCGTTGCCTTGACATCTGCCGACGGGCCACAGAGATTTGTGAGCACTCTGGAAGTAGCAGTGGATTGGTTGGAATGAGTCATGTGATGGAGGCTTTGGATGAGATGTTCTCCTCTTCCTACATCGCAGCCATCAGGTAAAAATAAAAGTGAAAGAATATGAACTTTCCAACACATTCATGCTGCTCCAGTTGTTTGGCGATAAGTAAAAGAAACTGATTTCAATGTTGTTATTGTAGGTGTGCATCTGTACAGGAGCAGCTTTTCCTGAGGGCTGTTATTGCAGAGTTTCGTCGACTTGGCCTGGAAGAGGCCACTTTCCAACAGGTAGCTAAACTGCTAAATTAACTCATTTATAACAGCCCTTATTCTAAACTTGAACCTTAAATGATAATTGCAAATTCATTCTTCAAGATAATGTTTTATTTCCTGAATTTAAATTTATTTTTTCGCCACAGGTGTTTGTTCAGCACCAGGCACTGTGTCGGGTTGAGGGTTTGCAGCCGGTGAGTGTGTCTGAAGGGCTGGCGGTCTGTCAGAGGCTGGGTTCCTGTCGCCTGCTTCTCCTGGAGGGAAGCCGCCTGGACCTGCTGCTCCGTATCAGACTCAATGTTAGTCAGGATGATGTGCTTTATGCCTTGAAGGCTGACTAAAACTCGGCCCTACTGTGACCTGGCGACCAGTGTGGATCAACTCAATGTCTGACCCTTTTTTTTTTTGGACTTTCAGTGAGCAGATTTTGAATGAGATCTTGCCTGGTGCGTTACAGCTAAATTCTTATGAACTAAATGTGAGATATTGTATTAAAGGTTTGGATTAAATTATAAATTTTAATGCTTAAAATTATACATGTGTAGTTCTATAAGTATGTTTTAAATGTGCCATTTTTGTGAATTGTAATTGTACCTTTTTGCTTCAAATCATGTCTTTCTAAATTCTAAATGAGCTCTTTAATGTCTTCAGAGCATTTGCACAAATGCTTTATTCTAAAGCAATTTTTATGCATTTTAGTGTGGGAGAGTAAGACTCACACGTTTCTTGTTTAGCATTTAATGACTGTCATGTTAAAATGTACAATTTTCATTCGAAGCACCAAAATGTTGGATATTTTCAGATTTTACTTGTTTGATGTCTTGATACAATAAAGCTGTTGACTGATCAGACCAGATAATAAGACATTAATTGCTTCTGTTGTAATCAGTACAATATTACAATTATAGCAAGCATAACGACTAAAGAATGTTTATCACAAATATAGCCTAAATGTATAACAATTGCATTTAAAGAATATCCATGGTCAAATGGTGCTTAAGCTCTATATAAATGTCACATCCTAAATTACCAACAGGAAAAAAAAAAATCTCAGTTTTTCTAAAGCTATAATAATTCTACATCGCATTAGCAAGAGACTGGTGTGATAGATATGCTAACCAACTTTGTGTTCAAAATGCAACTTTGACTTTATGGCAACTTTTGCCATATAAACCTGGTAACATTTGTATGGTGTCCATTTAAAGACTGCAAAAAAAATAATCTATCTGTAACAAACTCCACCCACAGGAATAATGATGACATCCAACTAGAAAAGTAGTCCTACAAAGTTAAAACTTAAATATCAAATATTTTACTGAAGAATCAAATGTCATGTCTAGTTTTTGTTCCTGAATTTTGTGGTTTGTGGTATGATGAAATTTCCATCTTAATGATGGTTAAGGTTTATGCATTAAGCAATCTCCACTTCAGACCTACAGTACGATAACTTCAAGTGCTCTGTATAGTGAACATTGTCTGTCCCTGAAGGTCTCACGGGCCTCTTCTCTCAATCCACAGAAGTTGAGGTCCAAAACTCTTATATATACATTTTCGTGAGTTTCATTTATCAAAGATTAAACCCTCACTCTACACTTGCCGTGATCTCCATATTGGTGTACTGGCGACTGACTGAGTGATACTCTTCAAGGTCAGACTGTTCTGCCAGAAGGAGATAGGAATGGTTGAGGATATTTGTGGAGCATTCTGGGAAGGTGGTAGAACAGGTACTTGGGCAGGAGTGTAGTTTTTCATTAGTCACATGAGATAAAGCAACATCCCTGTACACATAGTCATTCCCTGTAAAGCATGGAATTTTATCGTTGTTCAAAATCACATAATCTTGAGCCATCTCCAAATCCTCTCTGCAATTCTCCCCATTTTTTTCACCAGATAGGAAGCCACGCTCAGATGGTGAAAGACAGGTAGACTTCCTACAGGGTTTGACTGTAGCTTCCCTCTCGGGTAGAATCTCCACCACTGATGTAGCAGTGTCATCATCACATTGCTTAATGTTGAAGGTTGGCTCCTGAATTGAAGACAGTAATAATATGAGAAGATCTATTTATTTAAAATCTGTTAAAAAGTTTTCACTTGCAATTCTTCAAATAGCCACAGAAAAAAAGTTTTATATAAAAAAAATGCTGATGATAAATAATGATACATTTAAAAAGTAGTCAATTAAAAATGTTCTCAAAGTAAAAATTATTATCAAAGCTGAAAACAATTACCCAATGTGATCCACTGATATCATCCAGGAAGCTTTCCAGCACCTTGTTAAGGTTTGGGACTGATGGCCACAAGGACTTCTTGACCTTACTAAAGCAGAGAATTAACCATATATTTTATATTTCTTCATATTCGCATTCTTAAGATATTTTTTTTTGTCATAGCTCATAGGTTGCATAAAAGTAGTGTTCTAAAATAATCAACAGAGAATTAGATTACCGGAAGTATCTGGAGAAGAAAGAGATCATTGCAGAAGCAATGATGAGCAGAGCCACTGGTATACAAACAATAAAGATCCACTCTGTGATAATAAAAGAAACGGTTTAATGAGTTTTAGAGAAACGGGTTTAATGAGTTTTAGAGTTGTAATGTATTTTGTTCATGACTGAGTCAGATATTTCTACCTTTGTCTAAAGGTAAGAGGACAGTGAGAGGTTTTGACCAGTCACTCCAGTCTCCGCTGTACACAGATCCATTGGGTTGGGCTCGGACCTGGATGGTGTATTGGCTCCCTCGGTGCACATCCAGACAAGTGCTGGTCTTTGAACTGAGTGCTGTAAAATCCTACCACAGAATTTAGTTTCAACATGTGTTATGCAGCCATTTAACACACCTAATTCGAAGCAGAAAGAAGACATTGAATAATTGCCATATATGTGTTCTATCCACTTTAAATATATGAAATTCACATGATTTAAACTCACCTTCCACTCACTGTCTCCTTTACGCTGATAGCGGATCTGGTACTTAAGATACTGGGAGATCTTCAAAAAGGGTGGATCCCATGTCAAACAAAGCCTTCTTTCCTCAGGCTTTGCTTTCAGACCACCCGGAGGCCTCGTCTTGACTGTCAAAAACAGCAAAGAAACGGACCAATGGGCCTTTGACTGCCATTGGCATTATGAAATAATGATGTCATTAGTAATTCAAGAAGAATTAGTAACTAAAATGAGCATTTTGAGTGCATTTTAGTAATATTACCCATACAAAGAGTAGTGTGGTACAATGCTGGTCCTGCATGTATTAGATGCCAAGGAACTCTGATATAGGGGAGACCAAGAGATGATTGCAACACTTTTTGCTTTAGTTTCTGCAACTCTGTGGTTTTCATGTGGAGTCGTGTCTGACACTACTGATATCATTTTCCCAGTTAACTTTACTTTGAGAAATACAACTTATCGCTAAACTAAAATCATGTCAAATACAAAGAGTGCTATTGTTACAAATGACCTCACTATCTGAGTTGTAACAGTACACAGGGGCACCTTAGGGCGATCACCTTCTCCGCCCACCGAGAAGGTGATATCGAACGGACAGACCGAGGGGGGGTCCTGCTTCCTCAAACTCGCACTGGGCCCCGCCCCATTCATGAAAGTACATGAAACCATGAACATCAGTATACATTTTGTACATGTATGGTTCTTTTTTTAAATAAACCACTATCCCCATTTAAAACAGCAATCAAAATGAAAAATTTGGGAACAAATACATAAAGGACTCCCCCATCAGCATGTATTCACATGGTAATAATGAATGGTTGACATATTCAATACTTCACATGTGTTTTAAAAATCGAGAGTATTTGGACAACATGTGGTGGCTAACATGACTTTCAGCCATTTCTTTCACACTTACTGCTGCTGTTCATTCTGAAAGTCTCTTCATAAAAAGTCCGACCATATGGTTCCAGTCCAGCACTGAGGTAAAACTGATAGACACTGGATTCCTGGCCATTCAGGACACACTGGTGGACGGTGTTGTTGTCTTTGGAACACAACTTCCAAATGTCCCATGAACTTCTGAAACACAAGACAAGAAGGACTACAGTTAATGAATCAAACTAACTGCTTTCCTTTGATTTCTGTAAGAGAGGACATTAAAAAACATAACACCTGTTCATTTGCCTGTAGTGGAAGCTGTATCTGCCGTCATCATATAATTCTCCTCTCCATTTGCATAATGCTTGACTCAGATCAGGAGTGTGGCACCTCAATTCTATGTCACCTGAAAATGAGCCAGATACTGAAAGGTGATTGGACATTTACTGTTATTTTACCTGTACCTAATTATTAAAGGGATAGTTCACCTGAAAATGAACTTTCTGTCATAATTTACTTGCTCTCATGTTCCAAACCTGTATGACCGTCTTTCTTCAGTAACACAAACAGAATGACAGCCACCATTCACTTTTCTTATATTGGAAAAAAATGCAATGAAAGTGAAATCCCAAACAGTCTGGCTGTCTTCCTTCAAAGAAACAAAGTCATACAGGTTTTTAAAAAGATGCGAGTGTGTAAATGATGAAATAATGTTCATTTTGGTGTGAGCTATACCTTTAAGATTTGAATTAAGAAAAGGAATTAATGCTTGTATAAAGCTAAAGAGAATCTTTATTATTGATTTAATTGCCGACAGTGTCAACAAAAAGTATGGATACTTAAGTTATGCTTAAAAATGTAATGTCATTGCATTATAAAACATATCAAAACATTAATTTTCAGGTAAAACCAAAGTGATTCTCTTGGACCTAGAGACTTTTAATGTTGGCAATTAGCCTATGACCTTGTTTTATTAATCCTAATATGTAGCCCAATATAAAAAGCTCTGATTAGTAAAGTAGCCTATTAATTTATTTAGTTTTTTAATGTTCTGATTTTGCGTAGGGTACAGCACTTTGGCCAATCAGGGTTGTTTTAAATGTGCTTTTTTTTTTAAGAAAAGAAAATTTAATTAAATTAAACGAGGTGCTGGCTACAGTTCATAAAATACACATGCTCTTTTCAGCTCTCACCTGCTGTTTGTGGCACCATTGCTGTTACAGGACTTGACCAATCACTCCAAAACATGTTTGAAGCCCTAGGCTTCGCTCTCACTTGCACTGTGCAGTTTTCTCCTGCGATCAGAGAGACTAACTTATGGGGATGTTTTGGAACCTGTGAGGAGTGAATGTAGATTGCATTTACTCGGCTAAATGAACTGCTTATAGCTACTGCTGATACAGTAATATTTCAAAAAGGGTGTGTGTCAAACTCACCTGTCTAACTGTACTTGACGTGTGTTTGGAGCTGTAACGAATTTCATACTGTGACCTCAGTGGTTTTTTCCATTTAACTAACAATTGGCCCACCTCGCCAGTTAGATGAAGGGATATATTTGATGGAGGATACAGTAGATCTTGGAGGAAGACATAAGCAGATATATTTATTTGATTTCATAAACTATACAAGAATGAAAACTGCAGAGTACATTCATAAGAGCTTCTGTAGCACTTACGCTGATTCTCCACATTGACAGTGCGATTGTAGACGGTTGTGTTGGTGTCTCTGTCTATCACTATGAGTTGTGTGTCGATAAACAAAAAGACACCACTCGATGGGAATGTGCAAACATACAGGTCCTTCTCCTCATAAATTTGTTGTTTCACATCACATCTTTTTTCTTTTCTGTTTGACACAAACATGTTTGCTTGAAGCTGGTCTGTAACCACCATAGAAATTAAAGTGGGATGCCCTCCCCCCCCCCATCCCATTTTACAGATGATCTATGTAGGTTTTTCAATGACCGATTTATAATTAGAAATAGCCTAATAATATATAATAATATATGTAGCCTAATGAAATATGTTATGAATATAAGATATAATTATATGCAATGTTATATATTTGAGTTTAAGTTGAATATAGAAGATGAAAGTACTTAGAACTCTTACTGATTAATTATGTAGAGAAAATAATAGGACTTTCCAACAGGTGCTTCCCAAAAACAAGTGAAGTCATCTCGATCCCTGGTGAAACATTTTGGGTTCTTATCCATGGCCAAGATAGCAAACTCTAAAAAGAAGAAAACCGTTGTCAAATGCATAGTTTCAATGCATGTAGCATTTTACACATTGCTCTATAAATACAACCTCAACATTCATGTCTTGAATTACGGATATAATGGACAGGGGCCAACGGGCAAATTTGGCCAGGATGCCAGGGTTAAACCCCTACTCTTTTTTTCCGAAGGACATCCTGGGATTTTTAATGACCACAGAGAGTCAGGACCTCGGTTTAACGTCTCATCCGAAGGACGGTGCTCTTTGACAGTATAGTGTCCCCATCACTATACTGTTAGGACCCACACAGACCACAGGGTGAGCGCCCTCTGCTGGCCTCACTAACACATCTTCCAGCAGCAACCTGGTTTTCCCAGGAGGTCTCCCATCCAGGTACTATGGTATTTCATGCCATATTTAACATAAAGGGTCCATACAGCATTATTTTCAGCTTTATATTTTGTATAAAGTACAGTCATCTGTAAATATTGTTTATTTTCCCAGGGTTTTTATTTTTTCATTGATCTTCTTGAAGTGATAACATACAGAGCCCCTAAAATAAAATAATAAAATAAATATACAGACTTTTGCATGTACACGAGAAACTTTTTCATGCCCTCGAGATACTGTTAGAATTTATTGCATGCTTATGCATTACAATTTCTAGCTTTATATTATATTATTCCTTAGTGCTTCGCTGCCATCTATGAAGAAAACAAGAAAATGGATGCACATGAATTGACAGAGATCTATTTGCTCGAAATTTGGCTTTCCTAAGGGTAGTAGGCTACCAAAATATCAAGTAAAATATCAAGTCCTAATGTCCAATTTAATGCATCCTCTGTGGTCGGAGAAACCATGACATGAAATAGGCTGATGGCTCAATATGGCTGTGTGCATTGTACTATTTGCCAAGTTCATAAAAAAAGCCAGTATGTCATATTTCAAAGCATTAGGTTTGCTTTAATGCATACTCAGTGGCGGCCAAGAAACCAAACAGCAAAATGGGCTGATGGCGCAATAGGCTCAGAGCGCATTGTATGATAAGTTTAATGGTTTCTCGTGCCCACACGAAAGTGTTACATGCAGGCTCTGTAATAGCTAAGAATATTGTGAGAAAAAAAACAAAACGCTTATAACCTGCATTTTTGCATAATTAAAAATTGCACCTTGAACTCATTCAGTCGTGTTTGACAATCACTAAAGAATCACTAAACAGCCATGAAAACACATGTGTTTTCAAAAAAATAAAATTATTGTATGATAAATTTATTTTCATTAAATTCTTAATTTTCTTTTACTCTGCTTTATTTATTTCCATACTTTTCCACCTGGAAATTACTCCAATTCCATACTGTTCCAAACTGCGTAAGAACCCCGACATTAGTTAACATAAACTAATAATGAACTGCACTTCAACAGCATTTATTAATCTTTGTTAAAGTTCATTTCAACATTTAATACATTATTAAAATCAAATGTTGTATTTGTTAACATTAGTTAATGCACTGTGAACTAACATAAACAGCTGTATTTTATTAACCAACTTTAACAAAGATTAATATATATATATATATATATATATATATATATATATATATATATATATATATATATATATATTTATATATATTATATATTTATAATAATATATATAATGTATTAACTAACATGAACAAACTACGAGCAAGACATTTTTTTAATAAAATATTTAAGTGAAAAATACAATATATAAGTGAGAAATACAATATACAAGGAAAGAAATCACCTAAAATAAAATCTGACCAACTCACTCTTTTGTCTTACCTTGCTTTGATAGGTGAGACTCTAAATGCACCTGTTTGATCAGACAGGAAAGGAGAATCCACCATGTGAGCACCAGATCCATTATGTACACAGGGGGTCCATACACAACACTTTTTAAAAGGGTCTAGATATGTTTGTGTTTAGTACTTAATGTTTAAAGGAGAGGGCGGGGAGGTTGGTAGGTGGTCATCTGACAGGGCCCAATGCAATAGGAAGTGGTTGGACTGAGGATTGAGGCAGGCACCCGGACTGACAAAGTGCCTCCTTCACACGTAGATATATACTCAAGCGCTGGAACAACACTTTCAAGATAACTCTATGCTATCTTAATGTTTTTATATTAAGTTTATTATATTAACATAAATGACTAATGATTTTTCCTTCTTTATTTTAAATTTAAAAATATCCTATTAATTTATATATTATTATTGTAAATTATTATATTATTATAAAATGTGTAGAAGGATACAGACTAGTTGAAGAGGTCACACTTTATATTTTACACCCTAGACATAAGATAACAGGCCTCTTAAAAAATATAATCTTGAGTTCCCTTTTTTGGTACTGTCTTTCAAGAGAAGTGCAATAATGAAATTTCTGTCTAGAGGTTATGATAAACATGATTTTTAAAAAAAAAAATTAAGTTGTGAACATGTACTGATGCCTTTGGATGAAATATTGTGTTTTTCTTGTATATACCAAGGGCAGTTTTGGTGGGATTCAGAAGTAAAAAAAACCTTTGAAAAAAGTATAGGCATGTGTGCCATACTAAAAGTCGGTTGACCAATAAAACCGATTAGTTAATTAAGTAGATAGATTACTATTAAATGCAATCCTTAACTGAAGTTTAAGGAGGGATGTTTTTTTTTCTTCCGTTTTGTGTGCGTGAGTTGAAGGAAACTGAGTTGCCGTACCCTGACTGACAGATCTTGGGCCTGTGGCAGAATAGGAGGAAATACCCTTGACAGATCAGCAAGCTGCAGCAGGGAAAGGGGCCTGACCTCAACCCCACTACTTGAAGAGAGTGAAAGAAAAAGTAGTTTCTGTTCCTATCAGTGGAGTGTCTACAGTTGTCTCCAAATGCCTCTGTGATGAGTCCTGTCACCACAATGATGCTTTATTTATCAAAGTAAACATTCTCTAACATTCTTTAAATGGTTATAGGATGGCTATAGAATGTTATACATACGTCATACGTAAAAAAACATCATAAAAATAGCTTAAAAATCTTTAGTGGCTTTCTACGGTCTGATAAACAACATAAACATTATGTACAGAACTCACTCAAGGTGAACAAATGAGTTACATCGCTTTCTCAAGTGCTACATTGAATAATACTGGTGCTTTTGTCCATTTGATGTATGTCCATTCCAACAACCTCCCAATAAAATGATGGAAAAAGAGTTCAATGCATGGTCCAGATCCCCACAGACCCAGCGTGCTACATCCGTAGCTTATATTGTAGGTTCCACTTCCTCTTGAGTAATCCAAGGCCATCATGTCCTGAGATATGAATCCTAGAGTCACAGCTCCTAAGAGTGTCCTTTCACAGTCTGTTCTCTATAGCCATGTGGTCTTGGTGGAGTGTCTCTTTGAACGATGGAACCTGGCCACAGGGGAGTGACAGTAACGCAAAGCCCTACTGTGATGAGCCTCCCTTGGGCTGTGAACCCTTCTTGGGTCTGGGGGGGCTGGTAGTCAGGCCTCTTCGGCTGTAGCATCTATTCCAGCATAAGTGAAGTTCTCAAAGAGAGCCATGTTGACATAGGCCTAGATGAAAGACGAGGTTGGTTAATGGCCACATACAGATACAACTGGACCTGAATTAGTGCTCATATTTGTGCTATTGACATGAAATATAAACCACTGTTTAAAAGTTTTGTGGTCAGAATTTTTTTTTTTTTTAAACAATTAATACTTATATTTAGTATTGCGTTAAATTGATCAACGGCGATAGTACACATTTATAATGTTACAACAGATTTCTATTTCAAATAAATACTGTTCTTTTGCACTTTCTATTCATCAAAATATCCAGAAAAAAGTGTCACGGTTTCCAAAAATAAACATCAAGCCGTTTTCAACATTGTGTTTCTTGAGCACCAAATCAGCATATTAGAAGATTTCTGAAGGTTCATGTGACACTAGCTATGCTTCCATCCACATATTTGTATGCATTTTGGGATATCGCTTTTTTTTTTTTTGATCCAATAAATCCCTCAATGTGCAACACAAAACTCACATGACTTTGCCTCAACAGTGGATGTGATTGGATAACTGGACTAACCAGCGGATAATTTTCATTGCACAGCATCTCAAATGTTGGTTTGATCATTTTGAATGATTTGGCATAATGACCTCCCAGAAGTGTCTCACATGATTGTGTTCCCAAACACCAGGCATGAACGCAAGATAACATGACAGTGTTTACAAATTGCAAATGCAAGCATCAGCCTGTTTTTCCTTACCTTCCTAGCCTCTTGCATCCGATTGAGCTGGACAGATATTTGTGAAAATGGTGGTCGCTCATAGGGTCTATCTCGCCAGCACTGCCTCATAAGTTCATACCTGTATGGATAATTATTATACAGGGGATTATAATTACAATTATTAATACAACTACAGTTGATCAATATGGAAAGTGGCTACCAGAATACATGAACGTCTGTGCTTACACTTCATCATCACAGTTCCTGGGCTGCTCCATTCTGTAGCCCTGAGGAAGCTTCTCATAGAGCTCAGCACAGGTCATCCCACAGTATGGAGTCCCACCTTGAGGAGAACAGATGCATAGCCTTCATCGTGCTGAAACATCTTTATAATGCATTGAGGAGGTAGACAATTCATTCAAACTAAATGAGAGAACTTACCTAAACTTACAATTTCCCACAGAAGAACTCCAAAAGACCACCTGAAAGCCCAAGACAGATATTTAAAAGAAAGGAGGATAATCAAGGTTAAAGAAGAAGCTACATAATTATTAAAAGGATAGCTGGTGATGTGACGTCTTAAAAGAAATGGTGCTCATGGTGAGAGACTCAATGCAAAGGCTAACATCTATTTAGCACATTTACATACCAATGATTTAAAAATAGCTCGGACAAATTCTGAACCTGATCTACACTACCGTTCAAAAGCTTCTGGCTTGTACGATTTTGAATGAATGTTTTTGAAAGATGTCTCTTATGCTCATCAAAGCTGCATTTATTTGATCAAATTGCATTAAAAACAATAATATTGTAAAATATTATTACAATTTAAAGTTTTCCATTTTAATATATATTTTAAAACAATTTATTTAAATGTATGTCAGTGTTATGTTTAGTTTTATTGTGTTTTTGTTCATGTGATTTGGTTTCCTGTATATCCTTTCAGTGTTGCATTCTCATCACCCTTGTTAGTTTACTTGGTTTCTCATTAGTTAATTATTACATTCACCTGCCGTCTAATTAGTTCCCTTGTTATCTCTGTGTATAAGTACCTCCTGTTTTGCTCTGTTCTTTGTCTGTGTTTTGTTAACATTACGTGTGGCAAGTGTTTATGTTTCGCCTGAAATTCTCCTACATATTTCTGTTGTTGGATTAAAAAAGATGATTTAGAATGAATTCTGGTATTCTTCGTGTTGGCTTGCTACCACATGTGACAGTATATTTATAAAGATAATGACAAAGCTGAATTTTCAGCAGAGTAAGGAAGCCCATTCATTCCTCTGTCAATTACTGTATGTTAAAGCTAACGCTTCGTTCCCAAACTTTTTTACAGTGAGTCATTTAACATCCTTCTGATTACCCCCTCTCTTCCACTTAGACTTATGTCACACCTTTTCCATGTAGGGACAATATTTACCTGGCATGAATGACTGCAAAAGATGAGTTAATTTGATTGGATGTCATGTATTTGATGTTTTATGACACTTCCATTTTCCTGTTTTTACACTGTTAGAAATACATGCTCGGTTTTAATGTTATTTTATGGTGGGGTAGAATTAAGTGAACGGAAAAACTCAGTTTTGCGTAACCCAGTTTGGGAACCACTGGCCTATGCAATCAAACTCCAGGCTTTATGGGAAATCCATAAAAAAACGATCTACTGGAGAAAACTATGTTTGTATGTCATGTTGGTCATGTTGTTTTCGAAATGTTCAGTGCGCAATGTTCTCAAGTGGGTAAAAATAGGTCGTTTTGATAGAGGCCCTGTGGTCTTGTGGAGCATGCAACTCTAATTTCGAGCTTCCTGGTTTGTTATCAGTTCCTTCCTGCTTATTTATCAGTTGCCCATTACAAATTGAGAAGGATGAAGGCATGTTAATTTGGATTGAAACTTAGGGATAGCATATCACTTGGTGTTTTAAATATTTAATAGACAATGAATTTCTTTGTCACATTTTCTTTAAGTAGAAATTAAAGGGTCAGACACTGACATTTAAGAGTCAGATAATAAGGCATGAGATGTTCATAACGATGTTTATCTCTGCAAAAACCACACAAATTATTCATTGCACTTACACATCACTCTTTGTAGTGTAGACACTGTAGTTTAGTGACTCGATGGCCATCCATCGCACAGGCAGTCTTCCCTGAGACAAAGAAGGAGCAACTTTTAACCAGTTTCATGAGTAATTTTTGCATTTCAGTCAAATTATGTTATATGTAAGTCCACCAGAACACTATTTAAGAGTGAACCTGATTGATAACATAAAGGGTGGATAAACAATGCACTCAAAAGGCTGAGTGAGGAAGGACTAATGAGTTTTATCATCTAATATCATCTCATAGATATAGTCCTCACCATGGTCTTTTTGACATACACCTCCTCACCACGTGAGAGGCCAAAATCTGCAATTTTTGCTACTAGGCTTTCTCCCACAAGTACATTTCTGGCAGCCAAATCTCTGTGGATGAACTGTTTACACACAAACAAGATAACCAGATACAGAATCAGGACATACTGTATAACAAAAAAAAAAAGAAGAGAAAAAATGGCATAAAATCGATATTGGCCCTATTAAATTGAAAGATACATTTTAAAATAATATATATTTTTAATGAAATTTAAAAAAAAACTACTTATTATTAATAAAAATTATTAATTTACAAAATTATTTCAATTAAAATGTGTTAAATAAACAAACTGCAACATTGCGGGCAATAAATATGACACTTGGCCAGTGTGTCAATTAATTTTGCCCATCCACATATGTTTTCTTAAATATACACCTCTTTTTATACCTGTTTGTCACTAAGGTAATGCATGCCAGTTGCTACATCAGCAGCAAACTGCAAGAGCTGCTGGGAGGTGAGTGTGGAGGCAGTTCCGTGCTCCTTGGCAAAAGCAGGATCAGTCTCTAGGACACGACTCTTCCTTAGGAAGTCCAAAAGATTCCCATAAGCTGCATATTCAATAGCAATGTAAAGGTAACCTGTGGATAACAGAGGCTGTCACATGTCTGCACTAGAGGACAATATATACATATGGCATCTGAGCCCAATAATGCACTTTGACAAAAGTGATATGAAGCCTTTTTAACATTACTGTGTCAAATGCTCCTTAGATCTTCTTATTATCTGACCATAATTCTATGTAATACCAGTAGGTGGCATACTCACCTCTGTTCTCACAGGCACCAATGAGATTGATTATGTTTTGATGCTGTCCCAATTTACACAGCACTTCTAGTTCACCGGCAAAGTCTCGATGGTCATTCTCTGAGGCGAACTCTACAGGTGCACAAAACGGACACACAAAATCACAATCATGTAAAAACAGACCTTAGCTAACAATGCTATGTCGGCTTGTTGTCTTACCCTTGAGCATTTTAATCGCAGCACTCATTTTTACGCCGTCTTTTTTTACCATGGCCTTGATGACCTGACCAAAGTTCCCTTCTCCAATGACATCCTCAAACTTAATGTCCTCCCACTCCAATATGGGATAGGTGAGGGGCTCTGGGGAAGGCTTTGGTCGTCGGGTCAGTGTGAGAGTCCCTGAGTTGAACTGTAGGATAGTCTCTTCTCCCTGAAATCGCATGTGGTGACATTTAAAAAAAGTTTTTTACTTTTGTGCTTATTATTGTTATAGTACTTATAGTCAAATCCACTTAAAGGAGAACTCCGGCGCAAAATGAACCTTTGGTCTAATAAAGCATTGGTACCTAGTCAACCGTTCTCTGTGATTTGTTTTCATGATAATCGAATGTAAAGAGTTTTATCTCTAAAAACTGTTTAGCGTATAACGCTAGTAATGGGGGCATTTAATAAGTAAAAAGAAATCGCTAGTTTATACCACTAACAAGACTCAAAATAGCCCCACACTAACACAGTAACATAATGAGGGTCCCTACATGCAAAACGAAGCATTGAGAACTTTGTAAGTGTCCAGACCGTTTAATAAGAAGTTATTTTATAAAGACAGTCCACTTCGTGTATACAGTCAGGAGCCATCTTTGGAAAACAGTCTCGACTAGTCAAACCACGAACGACGTGCTTAGTGAGCTGAACTGTAGTGAACTTCTGAACTGTACGAATGGCGTTCGTGGTTTCTGTTTTCTATTATGCAGAAAACAGAAATCCCATCGGTTATCCATATACAGAGGCTACTTAATGTGAACAAATGTAAACGCACCATGTCCTGATTGGCTAATGATCCAATCTGCTTGATCGGATCACGGTGATCGCATGTTAGGGGGGGGGGGGGGGGGGATTATCCTGTTTGCCCGTGCCTTCTACCCTGTTTAGTTGTGTGTTTTGGATTGTCTGCCTGTGTTTATGACCTTTGCCTGTTTTTGGACTTTGATTCAATAAATACTGTGTTTGGATCCTCAACCTTCGAGCAGTACAAGACAATAACTATTTTACATGAAATTTATGAATATATACATTACTGTTTAAAATAATGATTTAAATATATTGCATGTTTATATGCAGGCCCATAGCTAGGGCATTAGAGGCCAATTGAAATCAGGTTTCTCTCTGTCCGTTCGTGATTGCTTTCTGGGGGTTCATGTGCTATGGAAAACATGATATTTTCCACTTGTGAACTGGTATTTACCAGTGTGTTGGGTTCAAGTGCTTTTGTTGTCGTAATGTGGTAAAAAGATGGAGATCCAGACCTGTTATTTAGCTAAAACTATTTTAGATTGCTTAAGTCATCTGCTACAGCAAGAAGATGATTTATCAAAACTCAAACGATAAATAATATGCTGTAAATTTTATAGATCATGAATAGTATATATTTTTACCATTCACGACTCTCGCGTTGCTCTCCGCCATTTTGAAAAGGTCAAAGGTTATTTCATCTCAGCAACTCGTGCATCAAAATATTCTACGAGTTGCCCAGTGGAAAATACCACATGAGGGGGTGTTCATGTGCATTTTCCACGCCGGCTTTTGGTATTTACCATGATTACCATAGCACGCGAACGTACCATTACTGCTTAATGTTTTTATGGAAACCATGATACATTTTTCTTTTTTGTGGAAACTGTGATACATTAAATAGAAAGTTCAAAAGAACAGCATTTATTTGAAATATTTTTTTTTAACAATGTAAAAGTCTTAATGTCTATTTTGATCAATTTAATGCATCCTTTTATTAAATAAAAGTATTATTTTAAAAATAATTCTTCTCATGTCATGTCTATCCCACTGTGATAAAGTATTAACCGTGCGTTCACACGGCCGCCGGCCAGAGCGTCAAAGTGGCCGGAAGTCATTAATTTTCAATGTTAGCCGGCGGCGAGCTCCATCTTGGATGGCGAGAGCGGCATGCAGAAGTTGAAGTCAGGTCAACTTTATGGTAATGAGTGATGACAGCGGCAACCAATCGGAATTTAGAAGTGCTCCGTTTGAGAGGATTCCAGGGAACGCAGTCCTGTAAACTTTGGTTCCAACCACATTAGTTCCCAAGCAAAATAGAGGAGAGGATGATAATTTGAATTTGATAAGAAGGCGTGCAACACTATTTATAGGCAAGATTTTCGAGCTAGACCGCTTGTTTTTCAGCGGGAATGCAAATTAGATTAGCACTTAACCATGAACACAAAAGCCACACCACACAAATGGCTTTTAATTGGTTTATTTCGCTAGCAAACATGTCCCTATAATTATTAAGTTCTTTCCATCGATCAATTTCTTACTTTCACATTTAAAAGATTCCTTGAGGTTAACTTATACCCTCCTTGGTCAGTCTGCAAAAATAACGATCGACATGCTTGTTTGCGGCCCCTTTAAATAAAGTTTTAAAAAAGACCAAGCATTCGATCTACGTCAGAGCGTCCACGAATCTTTCCACAGCGTCGTTGGCAGGGCGGCGAGAGCGAATTTTGCCGCTCTCGCAGGCGGCGGTGTGAACGCACAGTAAGTCTACACAGATTTCAACATCTATAGGTTGTAAAAAATATTTTGCTGCCATTGTACATACAAAACAAAAATCAGTAATATAAAGTATATAATAATGAAATAAAGTATAAAATAATAAAGTGTCCACTCACCGATCCAGACTGATAGGTGAATGTCCGTCTCCGTTTAAGGACAGATTTCCGAATGCAGAAGAGAGCCAGGAGGGCCAGAAGAATGGTCACACAGGTTACACCCACTGACCCAACCACAGCCCAAAGAAGCTGATGATCCTCAGCCATTGGCCGCCCAACATGTTGAGTGGTGGGAATAAAGCTGGGGAATCCTGAATTATATGAAATAAGGTAGGTGCCTTTTTATGAGAGAGAACATTTTAGGAGAGGATTTAGAGTAGGCTTTCTACTAGGGATGTAACGGTTCACAAAATTCACTGTTCAGTTCGATACGATACAGTGGTGACACGGTTCGGTATGTTTTCGATACAGCAAAAAGAAAGAAATGCCAGAGAAATTTCTTTGATTTTTAATTTTTAATTTATTAAAACTAACATCATAAAGTGATTTAAATTTTTGTATTTATTTATTTATTAAAACTAACATCATAAAGTATGATCTTTTTTTAAATTTGAACAATGATGGAGCTATACTTGACTCTTCTCAGCAGCATATAAAACAAAAACAGCTCCTTATAAAAAATTAAATGTAATATTGTAGTAATAATTATTTCAGGTTTATTTTAAGTTTGCAAGTCTCCAGATTAACATTTGAGGGCAGCAATTTTATTCATAATGTCGAAATAATAACGGAGAAATTCGAATGCAAGCTCACTAGATCTCGCAGCGATGCTATTACTTCTGTGGCGTATGCTTTCAGAAAGAAATGCTTTCTTTACTGGATCTCTTAGCGCTGTGTAGTGACAGTGTCGCTTGATCAAGATTGGCTCGCGTTGCACTGACATTGGTCCAAACTCATTACGGTCTGTTAAGCAAAATAATGAGTTGCACAGTTTCGTTCCACTTTCATCACGTTTGCCATTTGATGTTGGGCAACGTTGTGGTGGTCGCGCCAGCACGAATGCTAACAAAATTTGGGTCAGCAGGAAAAATGGTCCAACGAATCGTTCGGTTTGAAATGCGTACCGAACCGAAAGCCTCGTACCGAACGGTTCAATACGAATACGTGTATCGTTACACCCCTACTGTCTACCATTAATTCTTTCTGGTCTCTTACCGTCTTTACGTGTCCTGGCTTGTACGAACTTGCTCCACTCCCCTGGCGCCTTGGAGAAAGCCCTCACCCTAAACTGGTACAACGTGCTCCCGTTGAGGGAGGTCACATCCTTCGTGGTTTTGTTGCCATCGTCTGTGTCCACCCAAGGGTGCAAGCTGCCCTGGCCCACCGGCTGGTACTCAATGCTGTATTTCACAATGCCTCCATTGGGGTCCTCGGGGGGCTGCCAGTGAAGCCTAACTGCATTGATGGACAGGGCATCTGCATGAACGTTCCGTGGGGAAGAAGGGCCTGGAGAGAGATCATACACAATTTTCCCTTTTCAATTTCATTTCACACTATGAAACACTTATGAGTTTGTTCCTTTCTACCACACCCTGTCTAGTGTCTAACATTAATGTCCTATTCTATAGTCAGTCACCTACTTGCGCCTACATGCAAGATTTTTGTTACCCTGCTTATAGATGTGAATATGGTGTGGCTTTGAAGGGGGCCCATGGCTGCCGCAGTTTACCAGCCGGACGTCCACTTGGTAGTCCCTGTGGTACTCCAGATTGTAGAGCTTGATGGAAAGCACATTAAGCAAGGTGGTTTCCTCCCACAGCTTCTCTTTGTGTGGTCCGTAGAGCCGCACTAAAAAGCCAGTGGCCTTGTGGTACCTGCCAATCAGGGACCACCTGATGGTGGCATTACGGCCCTCCAATGAGTTGGAATCAATCTCCGGCCTGGCCGTGGGCTCTAGCGACACAGAATACGCAATCAGAAGCTGTGTGCCGCAGCTGAGCTACGTACAAACTATACTGCTCTCAAAGTCAGTGCTTCAGTCAAAATAGACTGATAATCAACAATCAAGATATTGTTTATCTAAAGACCTGATTCCAGTCCGTTTCTCCAGATTTTGTCAAATCCATGTCAACATCATCCAAAAAGTCCATCTTCTCCCCAATGAATCCCACTGTTCTTCTCTTTATAGGGTAAGACGGGGGAAGATGCTCCAACCTTTATTTATTCTCTTATGTCATTTAATCTCATCTGAACACATCATTTATTTGATGTTTAGACACTTAATATTTTCATCAGAACATCAATTTATTCTGTCTGAACAGTTATGATTTGAAATGATTTAATTGTTTTCATTAAATAATAGTGATCAAGGACTTTATTTTATGTTAGATATTAGATGGCCGTTTATTAATGGGTGACTTGTGGATGCAGAAATTAATTTTAAGAATTTGTACAATAACTTTTCACTTAAAAAAATAAGCCCAATATTTCTTAAAATTAGACTCGTTAACTAAAGCCATTGAAAATTGTTTTTGGAAATTAAAATAAAAGCTGAATAGAATAAAATAAATTATAAATATTGGATAAGAAAAGTTGCCTTGGCATCTAACTGAAATATGTTTTAAGTTGATGTACGAAAACTACAGTAAAACTGAAATAAAAATGAATTAAATCTATATAAAAATATTTTAAAAAACTAATAAAAAGGACAAAGCACATAACAAAATTACTAATATTTGAACTAAAAATAAAAGCTGATTACTAAAATTTGAACTAAAAATAAAAGCTGATTCAAAATATTAATAAATACTATGATAGTATAAATATGATTACAACGAGATCATTACCTCTGGGGTAAGATGTCCCCCTAAGAAGTGGCATTTTGTTGCTGATGTTTTTATTATTTTATTTAATAATTATTATAATTCCATTCATTAGATTTTTATTTATCATGTATTCTACATATATCAGATGTTTTTTACATGTATAGTTGGGACAGGTTTACAGGAGGTTTTTATTGTGTGCCACAGGTAGGGGGCCATCTCACTCTAATAGTGGTCCTGTACATCGTCATCCTTTACATGCTAAACTGAAACTCATCTGTAAATATGTTATTAAGGGGGGCATTTACCCCATCTTTCCCTACAACCAAGTCATTTTTAGTTCTAGATTGATTTATTCTCACCTGGGCAGTCAGTCTCCATGATTGCCGCTGGACCCAAAGGACCCTCTCCTCCGTTTCCTGGACGAGTGAGTTGTACACGGACATGGTATCTGGTTGAGGGCTTCAGGTTCGGTAATGTGATTTGATCGTTTCCATACACTTAGTTAAAAAAAATGTGATTATACTGTATGTCTTTGACTGGTATAGTATATTGATATGATTCTTCATGAGAATTAACCTAATGAGAATTCCTAAAAACAGAAGTAATTTACAATTCCTCACCTATGATGGAGGACCAGGAGTCTTCTGTATCCACTGGTTTGTAAAGCAGTTTAGTGGAAATAATGGGACCGTCACCCATGAAAGTGTCCACTGGCTTTACAACCAGTTGTTTGCTACTTCTCGACAGCAGTTTAGGAGCTGTGGTTGGGTAGGGTGGCTCTAGTTCACAACAAAGTGCAAATTTAAAGGTCTTCAGCTAGAAAGAACATCACTAGAAGAAACCGATTTCTAAAATGAATCTCACCTTTAACAGTTAAGGTAAACTTGAAAGAATCCTGCCCACCATTGGTGGAGACTCGACATTCCCACAAGCCACTATGCTCTACAGACAGCCGTGGGATCTCAAAGTGAGCTGTGCTTTTTATGGAGTCCATGTTAGTGTGGGACGCCTGAGGAATTAGTAAAAACAGTAGACAATCAAAAAGATTAGAAAGATAGACACGAAAATACTTTCTAACTTTTCACTTTTCAAACATTCTTTCTTTAAACATCGTATGCAACTTTTTATTACCCGTCAGGCAAAACTTTACTTAAAGCCTTTATATATAATGCATTATAAAACTATTGTAATGTCTCAATTTTGCCTTGTAATATTATAATACTTATGTTACACCTTTAGAACATATAGAGCATTAAAACACATAACAAACAACCAATTTCAGATGTAACAAGGAATCCACAAATATTGGTTGTATTATTATATGTATATAATATTATTATTTTTTAACTTTGGTTGCAATTATTTATTACAAATATATAATGCATTATAATGCACATTATGAATTCCTCTTAATGCATTACACATAAAGGCTTTAAAGTAATAGTTCACCCAAAAATGAACATTTTACTGATGACAAGATGTTAATTTTTGGGTGAACTATCCCTTTAAGTAAAGAGTTAACAAATTTCCTATACTTATGACTCTTTCACCTTAAGAACGGTGCTTTCCAGCTTGCGTAGCTCGATACTCATATGGCTAGGCAGCGGATGGCCTGTTGCAGAGCATGTGATCTTGTGGCTGGAGTTCAAATTTCCCTCCAGGTAACTGGCCATATCCAAAATCTCTGGAACGCTATCTGAAAGAGGGATAAGGTTAGACAAACGGCGCCAAGAGGAACAAACTCTATAGATTTTGGAGTAGATGGAAAAGTAGTCTTAAAGACTTACCTGATTTCTCACAGTATTGCCCTCTCCAGCCAATGGGACATTGGCAGCCACTGAATCGATTGCATTTGCCTTTGTTCTCGCAGTTGCAACTTAAAAGACAGTCAGCGCCATACGTTCCTTCAAGACAGGCTATGAAAATAAGAGCATTGACAAGTCTGTTTTTTATTGCTTACATCCATAAACATGAAAACAGGCATTTTATAAGAATTCAATAAGACACGTTTTAATGCCTGAGCTCTGACCCCAAGAAGTTTAAGTGTAAGTGTTTGGAAATGTTTGTGTAACTAACAGTATGGAAGCCAGATTTTTATGCTATTGAGACTCACAACTGAAACATTATTTCTCACAATTGTGACTTTTATCTTACAATTGCAACATTATAGGGCTGCAACTAACGATTATTTTAATAATCAATTAATCTGTCGATTATTTTTCCGATTAATCGATGAATCGGATTTAGAAAAAACAAACGCATTAATTTCCAATCCTTTATTAAAAAACAGAACTGACAGTGCAAATTCACAGTGAAAAAAAATCCAGTGCAAAAAAATGGACTAACAAAAAACATACACATGTATGCTTTACATCTGCCAAATAATATATATAGACTTTTTAAAAATAAAGTGAGCTGCTGTCAGAACAATAAATAATTGATAAAAAATAAAGAAAAATACAAATCAGAAAACTTAACAGGATTTGTTTGAACGTCAGAACTTGTTATCTACTACACCACACTAGCACACTCACAAACTCTCACACTCACAGATGCACACACTCACAAACTTGTGTTTTGTTTTTGTCAAAGATATTATAATCTTTAACAAAATGTTTGACATTTTTTAACAAGCAAATGCACCTATTATCATATTACCTATAATAGGTAATAATAATAGCAATAATAATAATTATAAGAGAAGATCATAATCTCTAGTCTATCCTAATATTAATTATAAATAGCCTACAATGTATATAAAATATAAATACAATATTAAAAAAACAAATACAATGGATTGACCATCTATGGTGTGTAAGGTATTTTGCAGCTCATCCTTTCTGAGCATATAGTGTTTCTCTGAGTCATTAGAGTAAAGATTGAAAAATTCAGTGCTGCAAATTGTGGAAAAAATATTCCCCTGCCCTTGTAGTGGTAGGCTATTTTTGGACAGACAAGAAAGTGTTTTCATCGTCTATCTGATTCAAATCACAGTCTGCTAATTCAGTGGTAAGAATTTAATTATTGGTTTTATTTATATCTTATATAGTAGGCCTAATTATATATTACTATTTAGTATATGCCAAATGACTAATGCTCAGAGTCAGACACACTCGGTCTCTCTCTCTCTCTCTCTCTCTCTCTCTCTCTCTCTCTCGCGCGCGCGCGATCTCGGACACACTCGTGCTGCGTCCCAATTCGCATACTATCCGTCCTAAATAGTATTCGAAAATAGAATTAGTACGTCCCAAATCGTAGTATGTTGAAATGAGTGTCCCAAAGAGACCCGGATGGTCTACTATATCCGGTCAGAATCCGAAGTGCAGATCGATCATAGACTATGGACAGAGCTATCTCACTGGAACTCAGTTGAGACAGTTGAAGCCCATTTTTAGCGAGCACTTCCGTTCCTGACGCGGAGATCGATGCGCACTCTAACGGCTGATATTGCCCACAACCCATCGCGCGTTGGACGAGGATTCGGTTAGAACTACAAACACGAATGAAAAGTGTTCAAAAACTACAGACATGGAGGACGCGCGAGTCCGACGGTTATGTAGAGAGGTTTATGCCCAGGGGTGGTAAAAGTAGCCTACTCAAAAGTTATACTCGAGTAAAAGTATATATACCTAAATAAAAAATTACTCCAGTAAAAGTAGAAAGTCCTCCATTCAAACATCACTTGAGTAAAAGTACAAAAGTATCTGATTTAAAACATACTCAAGTACCGAAAGTAAAAAGTAAGTATTCAAATTAACTGTAAATATCAATAATTATGCAGATCAATTGTTTTGGAAGTGATATGCAATCTTTTATTTGAACAAATGATAAGATTAGATACTGCAATTAAGAATTTGTTAGCTAGCTGTTAAATCCCTTGGCTAACAATAGTAACATTAAAGCAACACTAAAGAACTTTTCCTCTGCGGTCCCCCTACAGGTTAGAAGCGGCATTGTCCGTTACCGCTGTCGTAAATAATTTAGCCTACCACAGCCTACTGTCGCACGCATGCTCGCTGTTTATCCACTGTTTATCCAGCACCGGCTTTAGAGTGAATAATGTCCAATTGTAACGCTTGCCGTAAAGCAAGTCAAATTTGTAGTTTTCTTACGTCTCATTCGAACTACAGAAACGCGACCCGATCTGGCAAACTTATATAGTGTGGTTCTAGCAGATATAGGACCACAAAGCTAAGGCAGAAGTGCCTTTCACCCTGTTACGACTTGATGAACCACTGAAACGATTTTGGAAACATTATTTTAAGGTAAAAAAACTTCTTTAGTGTTGCTTTAACGTCAACTCACCTCAATATGTTTTCTCAGATTTGAGGGTGAAGTTTTGAATGCTGAAATTTAATTCACCCGTGGCAGGCAAAGAAGACATTTCAGCCGATATTAATCTCCCTTGACTTCAGTGAATTCGAACATATCATTGATATATGGCCATGGGTGATCCCTGTCGGAAATCTTGGGATCATTGCTGGCAGCGAGAGCTGCACCTTCACCGGTTTCTGCGGTCAATGGTGAACTGACTGACTGCTACGTGAGCGTATACTGGCAAAGAGCTTGCGCGCTCTTTTTTTAAAAAGAAAAACAAGTTTTTCATTGGTTTGGAAAGCCAGTGTAATAAATACTTGGAGCGGGCATGGGGAAATGTATTGGAGTAAAAAGTAAACTTTGTCCTTACAATTGTAGTGGAGTAAAAGTGAAAGTAGATGCAAATAAAACATACTCAAGTAAAGTACAGATCCCCGAAAAAAATACTTAAGTAAAGTAACGAAGTATTTTTACTTCATTACTTACCACCCCTGTTTATGCCGAATTCAGACTGCACGATTTTAGCCCCGATTTTGGCTCGCCGACAGGTTTTGAGAAATCGCCGACAAATGCCCGAAATCACAGGCAAATCGGTGCTCGTTCACGCGAGTGACAATCACGCAGTGTGAATGAGCAAAGACGCGATCTGAGAGAATCGCCGACGCCCGTGAGATATTTGGCATGCTAAATATCTGGACCTGTCGGCGATTCACAATCCTGCTGTGTGAATGTGTTCTGACTATAGGGTTCTGACTGAAAACTACATCGGCGATGACCGACAGCCAATGAGAGAGCAAGATACAGGGAGGAGGAGGAGGAGTTATAGACCAGAATATCAGTATTTTAATAGATAGGCCTATATTTACAATTATATCAAACATAAACAAAGCACAAACATTTGCATTACCAGCAGCAACAGCAGGACATTTGCAAAATTATTTATTTACCCCCAACTCTCTTTGCAAAACACAGTCCTTGCTCCCCTCGTCTTCCCAACCATTTCCTGCATAAACTGTTTATTTATTTATTTTTTCATTTTCGCTACAAATCAGTGCACAGACAATTTGTAGGCTATCATTTTTAATAACAAATTCAGTGTCGCGCGAGTATTTCCTATCACTTCTCGCGTTTGTTTGGTTGTGAAACGTAGTTTGCGGACCAGGCAGAAGTTGTCGGCGATTCTTTCTTTTGTAAAGTCATGCAGTGTGAAACCTCCTGTCGCCGGACACACTCGGTCTCTCTCGCACGCGCGATCTCGGAGACTCGAGTCTTTTTTTTATACTCAAACAATTCCGCGTCGCGCGATGCAACGAATCGATTATGTAATTCGTTGCCAACTCTTTCAGAAATCGATTTTAATCGATTTAATCGATTCGTTGTTGCAGCCCTTTGTCATAATTGTGACTTTATACCTCACATTATCTCACTTTATATTATATTATTTTAACCTCTCCTATTTGCACCTTTATTTTTACAGTTGAGTATTTTAATTTAAATACTTTATTTTATTATATTTTACAATGTGACTATCATACAATCTGGTTTTGTATTAGATTAAATCTGATATAATGCTCTATTGTGACTATTTCTCATAACTGTGACTTTGTTTCCTGTAATTGCTATTTTATATTTCACAGTGTGACTTTATATCTTACAGTGTGACTTTATTTGTTATTTTAAACTTGATCTCACTCACTTTTTTACTCTGAGGTGGAATCTGGCTTCAACAAAGACTAGAACAAATGCACAGATAGGAAATATTTATCTTGGTCAGTTTGATGGAAGGTGAATTTTTACTGGCAGACTCCAGCAGCACCTGTTTAAACTTTAATGCACAACTGAATCCTTTCTGCAAAGTCTAGATGACACATGGAGGGAACAGTTATTATATAATGGGATCTCATGTTAAACTCACGTTTACGACAGCGGTCTCCATGCCAGCCGCTGGCACAAGAACAGCCGTAAGGATCAGTGAGACAGAAACTCAATCCCTGGCATCCATTCACTGACATACAGGATTCCTGGCAGTTCCGACCAAACATTCCTTCACGACAGGCTGCAAGCCCAAAATCACAAAAATGGATTTGCATGTTTAAGTTCTTAAATAGACAGTCTCTGCAGACATGAATGATCAGTTTCATAGAAATGGTTTTGATTTACCTGTCTCACAGCGCATTCCCATAAACCCTGGAGGGCAAACACAATCTCCATCTTTGTCATGGCACACGCCTCCATTCAAGCATTCGGGACAGTCCTTGTCACAGTCGGAGCCCCATTTGTTCTTTGGGCATTCTGTAAAATAAATAGGTAAGAAAATCAAGCAATACAATATAAAATCCAAAGTCTTGAATAAATCTAAATTGGTGATATGATACTGATTAGGATACCACGAACGATGAGGCGCATCCAGGCACTATAAAGAGCACTGTCCCCAACATAGCTGGCACTGTAAATCCCTGCGTTGCTTTCATCAACTTTCTCCAGATCCAAAACTGCTGTGTGGTTCTGAACATCAGCAACAGGAGTCATGTAATAGTAGTTACCTAAAATAAATCAGAATATACTTGCATGTAAATTGCTTATCCATTTACTGATATAATATATACCGTATATATGTGTTTGTGTGTATAACATTTAAACATATTCTCATAATTTGCTGTACCAATATGCATAAAATGTTGCATGCATGCTCTTAGGAAATGTGTCTTGTGAAATCGTAAAGAATAAAATAAAAGCTATACTGGCCATTAAATTTCCAAGCAATGTCTCGTCTTTCTGCCTGAATGACATCCATGATTAGAAGCGCTGTGTCTCCTTTACTGGCCGTCAGAGTGACCCTCGCAGGTCTAAAGTGACCTAATAAGACATAATAATAATAATAGTACTCTGGCATGACATCCCATTTTTAAAATCTTTTCTTCATTCTGATTAGTTTTGCCAAACTGTTTAGGTTTTAAAGGGATAGTTCATTCAAAAATGTCATTAACCCACATTATGATGTTTTATTAACAAAGTTCTGGAGGAGCACGTTCAGATAATTAACCAACTCTAGTACTCTGGGTTCGGGCCAAATTCCGAGCTCAGAGCTCTCCCCTCGGGCAGCATGCCGAATACGCATAACCTTTACTCTGATAATCTGATTATATGTATGTGTGAACTCCTGATAAACATTTACATTACCTTTATTTACATTACAACATTACATTTACTCACCATTGTGTAGTTCCAAACCTGTATGACTTACTATCTTCTGCAGAACACAGACAAGATATTTTTTAAAAATGTCATACAGTCAGTCAATGGGGTCCAGTGTTGTTTTGGACCCCACTGACTCTCATTGTAAGGAAAAACATTCTTTAATATATGTTCTTTTGTGAATTCTTTTGACATACTTTTTAGTTTTTTGGGTGAACTATCCCTTTAAGTTAAATATTTTTTACTCTGGTAGCCATACCTTTGCTGTAGTTGTTGATAAGTGTAACATTGGCAGGTTGGTCAGAGCCCCTTTTTGATTGACAGTTGAAAATCCCACTGTGGTCAAAGCCTGTAAATCCAGTAGCCACCACTTCTTTAGTCTGTGGCCTCTGCACAATAAATTTAGGAGTATCTGCACGAAGGACAATGCTGTTGTCCTTTTTGATGCTCAGTTGAATGCCGTCTGTGTCACGCTCTCCAGAGACGCAGGATAGGCGGAAATGATGAGCAGATGTGGCCCCGTTAGAGGTCATGGTGAGATCCATAACTGCATCTGGTAGAGGACACATTTCATACAGATGAATGCAATTTAATAAAATTGGAAAATACTTGCTAGAGATATAAAATGAACATCATTAGAAAGGTAATATTCTCATCACTTAAGTATGAAAATTATAATTATTCAGTACAGTTTATTTATAGTACATTAGGATCACAAAATAACAGCAACAATGGAGCCACTATATAGTGGAACATCCACATTCCTGCTTTGACACATTTCCCCCTGGCTTTCTGCCACTCTGTGCCCTTCTCAACACAAGAACAATATCAGGAAACAAAGAAGATCCAAAGCCACCATTCCACCACGAATGGACGAAATAATGAAAACATGTACAGACGCCCGGGGCTAGTATCACACTATTTACTCCAGTGAATATTTCTCAGGGCAGGTTTATTTTTGAAAGGCAATTTCTATATAGGCACATGCCTTAAATTCTAGGCTACAAAAAACAAATGAACATTTCCACTGTTATTGGCTAAGAATTGGCCTGCAATTTAGGCTGTTGCTACAATTTCTACAACTTAACATTAAACAACCTATTAAATGCTTTTAAGTAATTAAAACAGTAAACCAAATATTAACCACAAAATGAAGCATAGGCCTACACAGGTACAATACAAAAATATCAATAATAATAATATTGACATATATGTATAATGTATAACATTTAAAATGTGACATCAATAAAACTGTGACTTGCCCTGATATTTCTAAATAGAAAATAACCTTCTGCCTAAAAGCTGCCTTCCTAAAATAGTTCCAACTTTCAGTTAAATCTAATTCATTATATACAATAGTTGAACCGTCCCATATGTCAGTGTAGTTTTAGTGTGTGTGTGTGTGTGTGTGTTGTATTGTGTATTGTGAGTATAGAACTGCCAACAAATATTTTTGTGTGTTTTATAGTGTATTGTCAGGGTAGAATTGAACAAAATGACTCTAATATAGGCCATAAAGATTTTTTTTATTTGCAACCATAAATGCATAATGGAACTTATAACTGAACTCAAAACCTTACCGCTAGCAGCTCCTGAGAGAGTGCATTTGTGATAACGGCTTCCCATACCAATCAATCAATCAATCAATCAATAATTAGTTTGAAATCAGCAAGTCACATTAACAGATTTTTATAAATAACTATGAATGCTTATTGCTTCAACTAGATACGCTATACACCTTCATCATTATGCAAAACAGGACTATACCAAGTGAAGGAACTTCAATAAATATAATGTATTGTTGTATGACCATTTTATTATTGTATTAGCATCACTTTTTTGTTATAAACTAATCACCAAGATTCCCAATGATGACCAAATTACTAAAGATGCAAGTAAGCCTATAACTATTATGGTAACTTGGATTTAGTGACCATTTCGTCATACATAATATCGTTAAATTAATAAGAAAAGGCTCTGATATTAAATTATATGGTTTTACAAAAAGTGATCTGCAGTAGGCCTGTATGGTATTTTAAAGGGAAACTATTTTATTATAGTTATTTTTTGGCAAGGATTAGAAGTACACGGATAACTTTTTAACTAGGCCTATGTAATTTTAAGTGAACGCAAGAGGAAACGGCACTTTTTGGCGTAGAGCTCGCAGCTACAGTAGCTACTCACCAGAGATGACGACGAGGCACAAGAGGCAGATTAAATGCAGCATGACTGGAGTCTTGTGTTCCCTCTCAGATAATCCGTTAAAAATTATCCAAATACAGGATCTGTCATTCCAATGGAATCTTCCAGCTCGACAGGGGTATCCATGCGTTATTGCGCATTTCTACGATCACTGTGTGAATGTGCGTGCACCGATTTACTCTACGCGTGGAAATCTGTGCTGTTCACATGCTGAAAACTTTACTCTTCTGCCTTCTCCTCAGTCATACTACTTTGGGTGGGAAAGGAAGGAAGAGGCGTAGAGGATGAGAGAGAGAGAGAGAGAGAGAGAGAGAGAGAGAGAGAGAGAGAGAGAGAGAGAGAGAGAGAGAGAGAGAGAGAGAGAGAGAGAGCGATTGTCAAGGTACTGTAAGTACTATTTTCACAGATCTAAAGTCAGTGCATCATGACCAGGGTTGTTCTTCAATTATATCACTGCAAAACATTTAGATTGGTCCTAAATTATGTTATTAAGCATACAAATACCATTCAAAGACCCATTCAACTGAAAAGTAAAATGACAGAAAAAGTAAACAAAAATGTCCTGTTTACAATGAATAACTAAATGCAACATTGTTAAGACAACATAGGCCAAAAATTGAAAATGCATATGAAACATGAGAAGCACCATCATTTTATTTTATAGCATTGTATCATTTTTATATTTTCGATCTATTACTTGTTTATAGTACCATTACTAAACTAAAAGTGCATTTATTGTTGTTGCTGTCATTGAGGTACAATTACCCACATGGTTACCATGGCACAGTGTCAATAGTTTTAAATGCACATAGATACCTTTTTATATACAAATTGGTTAAGAAGGAAAGTGCACCCAAAGTACTGTCAGGTTAAATGCGGACTGATTTTGAGGAGTCAGGTAATCTCACATAAAGTGACAAATTCAATCTTTCTTTGTCAACTGTTCTTGTAGTTTATGATGCATCGGTACAGTCTAGACGTATAGCCTATACCCCGGTTTCACAGACAAAGTCCCAGACTAAAATGCATGTTTAAGCTGTTTTAACTGAAATTAACTTGCACTGACATATCTTATATATCAGTGCCACTGTTTTGTCTCAAGATGCACCAGTAATTTTTTTTTCTAATCTTGGCTTAATCTAAGCCCTGTTTGAGACCATGCAGGCCAATATTTTTTTAATATTCCCTGTCACTCAAGGCACCAAACCATCATAAAGAACAGATTACTGTCTGTCACACACCTCAATGGCACTACACTTCCCAGCATCCCTAATGTTTCCCGCCTGCGCATATCAGCATCACCTGATCACCTATCACCTGCACGTCCTCAATCACCATGGACACTAATGATCATCACAGCTGTCTGTCATTGTCTCATTATCATCTGTGTATTTAGTTCCTGCTTGTCTTCAGTACATTGTCTTGTTTGTGTGTTGCACGCTGTCTCGTCTGTTGGTTGTGTTCTGAGTTACTTATTAAACAAACTTGTTACTTTTCAATGATCTCCGTCTTCATTGGATCTAACCGTGACACTGTCATACTCATGGTCATATTTTCCTACTGAATGATTAAGCTCCATGCTGCTGAAGGCATCTTCTAACTACTCACATCAGTCATAGCCAGGAAACGAGAAACAATCCCTGACTGTGTGTTTTGTCTAAATGTTCAGTCATTTCGAGTTTAATTGCAGAGGAAAAGCCCACCGCCGCACGTCTACTGGCCCATTTACACCGTCTTTGCACACTTCACTAATTTGTGGATGGATGTTTTTTTAAATGAGCGCATGTTTTCTGTCTGTTTCTTGATAACATCGCACAATTGAAGCTGACTTGGATTGACATTGTTCTGACTTTCCTGTTTTCCACTCCACGAGCAAGGGACAGATGAAAAAAATCATTTATTTTTCTGCACACAGATAATAAAACAGAGTTTAGTTGATTTGTTTGTGCTGATTTAGACCAGCCATATCTAATGTGTTACTGTTTTTAGAAGTGCTGTCTGAGGCGGAGGTCTTCTTGCTTTTGTGTGCACTGTCACCTTTGGTACACAATATCAGCCACACAAATAGCAGGTCACACTCACATCCTGCCCATTTGCTCACCGAAGCGAAACACCTCTACATTGTTCATAAAATTTTATAATCAGTTTAAAATGGATAAATTCAATGTAGATATCTATGCCACTTACATGCACAGAACACTTTTTTTGGGCATTTTAGTATCAGTATTCATATTAATAGTAGAAAGAACAATATAAGTGCAATAATATGATTTCCATTGTTGCTTTTGTAGTTTCATTGTATCCTAGTGTTGTGTCTTGGCTAGAATGTGTGTGTTTTTGTATCGGGGCGTATGTGTGTTTGTTTATACATACTGGCTGATAAAGCGCTGGAAGTGTTTGGATGAGGAAGCCGCACGGGAAAGTAGTGGACACTGTGTCAACATTTTCTGTAGTTGTGTGGTGCCAGGGTGGAGAGAAACAAGGTACTTAGAGGGACTAGATTTAACCTCCACTCTCCCCCCAGACTGCCGCCTATTGTCCCAGCCACCTTTTGTAGTCCAGTAGTAATTGCTTTATACCTTCTCTTTCTTATGAAAGTGATGATGAATGTTGATTATTTTCTCTTGTCGGCGGACAAAGACTCAAAGCATTTGTCCTGCCTTGTTTTCCACCCTGAGGTCAAGAGACAATGCACACACCGGTGGCCAGTACACATGTAAAGGAATCAAAAGTCTTTATGTAATTTCAGTGCTCAGAAGTTTTTCCTGTGCAAAACTCTCCACCACAACACTATAGTGGTTGCTAGAATGTTCTGGGATGTTGCTAGGACACTGCTAGGGTGTTCTGTGTGGTGGTTTCTTACTATACCAAGTCAAAACACCCCCAAGTAAGAGCAAAAACAGTGATACGTTCTTTAGCAAACCTCTAATCATCGGTAACGTCATAAAAGTCTATAATTTATTTGAAAGAAATAGTCCACCCAAAAATGAACATTCCACCCTCATGGCATTCCAAACCTGTATGACTTTCTTTCTTTTGCAGAACTTAAATTAAGATATGTTGCTAACCAAACCGTTTCAGTTACCATTGATTTCCATTGTATGGGCAAAAAATACAAAGGAAGTCAATGGGAACCGACATTCTTCAAAATCTCCTCCACAGAAGAAAGAAAGTCATACAGTTTTTGGAATAACATGTATAATGGCAGAACTTTTATTTTTGGATGGACTATCCCTTTAAGCAAGTTCAGTAGTGGGAATCTCACACATAAGAATAACTAAATCGTAAGTGTTATTGAGTAGGGAGGGGACAGCTGTGAGTGTTATTAGATGCATTGTGGCTATGTGAGAAAGTTTGTATTAAATTCCCATTTCCACCCATTGTGAACGGAGCTGGCAGGACTCCACACGCACTGCATTGAATGTGGAAGTGTGAGAGTGTGAGCTGGCGATACAGGAGCCGGTCTCATGGGCATCTAGCCCTCTTGAGGAAGCTCACCATGGGACCCTTACTGCTATAGGTGCTCCATTATACCCTTAGGTCAGTGTCGGAAGTCCTCTTGTCATAGCGGGGGCAAAAATGACAGAATCAACCATTAAGCCTCTCCCTGAAAATCCGTCATCTATTCCCACACATCTTGAAGTGATGTCTGGTTAAATGCTCATGCAAATTCATCACAGGCCTTATGGAACAATCATGTAAAAATTTCCATCTGGCATGGATGAGTTAACCATTCATATCCGTGAAATAATAAACACAGTGGTTTGAGGGAAAGAAGATGTCTTTGTGTTTTTACCTAGTCAGCCAGATGTAGAGTGATGGAGATAAGAGGATCTTTAACAGATAGGGTCAAGGATAGGAAAACTGGAATAGGAGGATGTGGAGTGTGTACGTACAAGAGAAAGAGAGAGAGTAAAAAACAAAGGAAGGGGAAAAGAGGTGAGAGGGCACATCCGCTCCTCAGATTTTGTCTCAAGAGTGTGCGTGTGCAGAGACATCTTCACCCTGCACTGTTACACTCTCAATTCATATTTCCTTTCACTCTAACACAAACAACGTTCACGAGTTCACACTTACATCAATTACACAGAGTAAAGATTATGCGTATTTGGCGTGCTGTCCGGGGGGAGGGCTCCGAGCTCGGAATTTTGCCCGAACCCAGAGTACTCCCCCCATTGTTGTAAGAGTATTAGGACTATAAGTGAGGAGATGGGGTGGTGGAGGGATGCTGTTAAACTGTCAATGAACGGAGGTTAGTTTGCTGTATATATACACACAGCGCTTAACTCGTTGATTAAGCACCACTCTTGTCTAATTAGGTTTGATTATCTGAATGTGCTCCACGTGTGTTTAATTAGGTTTAATTATCTGAACGTGCTCCTCCCGAACTTTGTTAATAAAACATCATTTCTTGTAAACCTCCCTATGCATTGAGCATCCATATCAAGCATTCTCTAAATCTACTTTTCAATACTTTTCTTCTCTAAAAACTTAGATTGGCTAAGAGATTATCAATAAAATGTTTGTTAAACTCATATTCATTGAGAGACTGGATGAAATAATTGTAATTAAGTACTGTTTACGTAAACCAAAAAAATCTAGTTAATTCAGAATGATTGGTTGATGAATAAATAAATAAATGATTAGCAGAGGTGGAAAGTAACGAATTACATTTACTCGCGTTACGTAATTGAGTAGTTTTTTTTGTGTACTTCTACTTTTTTAAGTAGTTTTTAAAATCTGTACTTTTACTTTTACTTAAGTACGTTTTGTTTGAAGTATTTTACTTTGCTACATTTGAAATCGTATCCGTTACGGAGTAAAAAATTAAAATACAAGGGAGAAAAAAAAAATCACACTCCGGAAACTACTGCATTGATTGGTTGAAGGGCGGGAGAACAAACGCGCAAGAAAGGTGACGCAGACCCAGCTGAAGCTGAAAGCGCCCTCAAATTCTTATGAAGCGAATTATGGCCAGTATGAAAATACTTTGTAGAAAAAAAGCGTGGTTGTCTTCGAGGATAGATATCCAATTTGCAAAAAATGTGGACGCAAAGTGGCTGCAAAAGGAGGATACATAGGAAAGGTAGGCTATGTCCCGATTATAACTTAAAGGTGACCTATAATTCAAAATTGAATTTACCTTGGTATAGTCAAATAACAAGAGTTCAGTGCATGGACATGACATAG